TGTATAAAAAAAAAAAACATATCAGTGTCTATACTAAAAAAAAATTAGAGTTTAAATATTAAATTATGTTTGTTTTATTTAATTGAAATTTAATTTAAAATTTAAAAATTTATTTTATTAAATATTAATATTTAGATTTAAAAACTAATTAAATTTTTACATTTTAAATTAAAATTTTAATATTTAAATATAAATTGAAATTTTAGTTTTTTTTTTTAAATTTGATATGATGTACATAAACTCATAAATAAATTTTTACTCATTTATTTTATACCGATTTATATTTTTAAAAACTAAATATTTTCAGTGATATATTTAAAACCGCTGGAAATTTGTGAAGCGTTGATGGCTTATTGACACACATAATGATAGAGATAAACCCAAAAATATTATAACAAAAAGGGCAACTTTAACCCAAAAGACTACAGCTGCTGGCTCGTAGCAAGCCTGAACTAATCTGTTATCTCTCCAGGAAGATGAACAGAGCGTTGACCGGTGCCGGATCAATTCAAGAATCCGATTATGATCGGAAATACGAACTGAAGGTGTTCGATGAATCAAAAACCGGCGTGAAGGGGCTTTTAGATTCAGGGTTGACAAAAATCCCGAAGATATTCGTCAATGAGCATCGCAAGCTTGAGAAGAATCCTGCCCCTGCTGCAGCTGAATCCTTTGAAATTCCGATCATCGACTTAAAGGGCATTGCGGAAGATGAAAGCTTGCGCCGTGAGGTCATTGGAAAAGTTCGGGTTGCAAGCGAGAACTGGGGTTTCTTCCAGGTGGTCAATCATGGAATTCCGGTGAGCACTCTGGATGGGATGATCGATGGTATTCGGAGATTTCATGAACAAGATGCTGAAGTGAAGAAAGAGACCTATTCTCGGGATTATTCCAGTAGAAAAGTGCTCTACAACAGCAATTTTGATCTGTATCAGGCGCCAGTGACCAACTGGAGGGATAGTTTGTGTTGTATCATGGCTCCTTCTCCCCCGGATCCTCAAGAACTCCCTGCAGTCTGCAGGTATGTCTTTGTAAGCAAAGAAAATTCATATTTTAGTAACAGACTGTACAACATGAACCATCAAATGCCTGTAGTTTTCAATCTGATGGTTCTTGATTTATAGGTATAATTCAGATTATTAAACACAGACTATTTCAAATTCAATACAAGTAGACATTGAACATATTTGTAAGAAATTTTATCATGGACAATTAATATAAATTTTTATCATCTATTTCTTATATTAATAAAAAGAGTTCTTAGTTTACAGTTTAGATTACATCAAATTGTAAAACAAGAACCATTCAATTAAAAACAATCTCATATATTAAGGAATTCCCACTCCATGGTTTAAGTTCTGCAAGTTGGTGTAATCTTTTGTAATAAAAATATCTTATCTTCTTAATTACCTTGCAGGGACATAATAATTGAGTATTCAAACAAGCTAATGGAATTCGGACAAGTAATGCTCCAACTGCTGTCAGAATCTCTTGGTCTTGACCCTAATTACTTGAGAGACATTGGCTGTGCAAAGGGTCTTTGTATGTTTGGCCACTACTACCCAGCATGCCCTGAACCAGACCTCACATTGGGCACAAGTAGCCATACTGATAGTGGCTTCTTTACTGTGCTGTTACAAGATCAACTTGGTGGCTTACAGGTCCTCTATCAAAATCAGTGGATAGATGTTACCCCTATTCATGGAGCTCTTGTCGTAAATTTGGCTGACTTAATTCAGGCAAGTTTGTTATGTCTACCTATTACTACTATTGATTTGGTCTAACTTTTGTAACGTCATCTATTTTTGTCAAAGCATTCAAAACAGCTCAAAACAACGTCGTTTGTATCATAGGACTCTTGAACGACGTCTACCGAAAAATGTTGCTTTGTCTAAATCATCTCTAGTTTGTTTCGTTTTGCAGCTGATTACCAATGATAGGTTTATAAGCGTTCATCACAGAGTTCTTGCAAAAGCTGTAGGTCCAAGAATTTCAATGGCATGTTTCTTCAGAACACAACTCCCAACGGAAAGCACCGCTGTCTATGGACCAATTAAGGAGCTATTATCAGAGGAAAATCCTCCAATTTATCGTGAAACAACTGTAAAAGACTTCGTTTCACACTACTACTCTAAAGGGCTCAACGGTGTCTCTGCACTTGAACATTTCAAACTCTGAATTATATGCATCTGGAAACAATGTTATGTTCTACCGTCAGTTAGGCTAGTAATCTGAAGCAGTGTCTTGTTGTGTAATTTAAATATGTGAACTTAATGTGAAGGGATATTGATAAGTTTGGAATTTCATAAATATTAGTGAGAAATTTTCACTTGATACTATTGATATTTGAAAAAGTATATTAAATAGGATAAAATATATATTGTAACAGGAGATAGGTTCCATATTTAACTATGTATGTCCTGTTTCTTAATTTTAAATAAAACTTGTGCGTGACTTTCAAACAAGAAAAAAAATCAAATAAAATAGAAAATCTCATAATTATATCAATAATAACATTTTGAAATCATAATAATTTAAAATTTATGGTGGTTAATTACAGTTGAATGTCTCAATACTTGTTGAAGAATTTTCAAAATAGTTATAGCATTTGGGTTTGAATCATAAAAAGTTGGTTTGAAGCAATTACATAGAATGCATTTGAGAAAATATGATTTTGGTTCAAACCATATAAATATGATTTGAACTATTTATATAAAATTAAAATTCGAAAAGTACAATTTTGATTTAAATCACATTTATATGGTTCAAACCATTTACGTCAGAAATAAAAGATAGAATTTTGATAAATTTCTCAAGGAATAGTGGATAACTTTGGAAGGTAAGGAAACATGTGAGTTGGAATTTAAATCAAACAAAATGACTTTTGGAAGAGTTTCCAACAGATAAATTTAATGAAAATTTAGATATTTTTAGTTAATAAACTAAAAAGGAGTATCTGTTCTCAACATACATCTTGCCCATATAAATATGGAGTTATCTCTTCTTCTTCTTAGTCTCTTGAACACAAAAACAAATCCCTACTATTATCTAAATAAAATAGCCATTTTTTGTACTATGATTGTTGCAAAAATCCTTGTACAAAAACTATTGTTTTGTCGCTTTCTAAAGGATAGTTTAGTGGTTGATTTTACTAGTGCAAAGGCAAGATCAACAAGGCACTTCATTGTATCCTATGGGCATTTCAGTTTACCCCTTTTGCATACCAGATTTGGTGGGGGCAAAATTAGATTAGAGGAAAGTGGCATTTGCAGCACACCTTGAAACCAATGATCTATTTTCTAACCCCCAATTTCCAACAATCTTTAGGCTAATTTTTAAGTTTCTTGAGATCATGGCTTACTGGATAATTGAAAAGAAACTTGTGTAACAAAATGTTTGTGACACCAAGGAGATTTGGCGTGCAACAGTAGCAAAACAAAAAGGATTTCTAGTGTGATTAGCATTATGTGATGGATAATTGCTGAGCAATGGTGGGTCGATCAATAACTGGAAATAAAAGCAATCATAAGCAATTGTGTGATTGATCAATGATCGATTAGTGATGATGGATTAATCCATCACTAGATGTAAAAAAGCAATATAGAGGATAAAATATTCTACCTGATTTCCATCTACGATAACAACCAAAGTGTTAATGTTTTAATGGAGGATGCTGCACGCTGGACAATAAAGCAAGGAAATCAATTTTCATGGAAGATGAAACAATGGAGACATGATTTTGTTCATCAAGGAAGCAATCAAAATTTCCAAGTCTAAAGAGGATATGAAATGGAGATGAATCGATATTCACTACAATATCAAAATAGGTATGAAAACTAGTAAAATGATAGAATAAAATAACACATTCTAGAATTAGAGATGGAACTCTAAAAGTACGATTTTGGTTCGAAACACATTTATAGGATTTTAACCACTTATGTTCAAAAAATGCATGTTTGCTTATTTTATAAATAGCAAGAAATTGAGATTACAGTTTCTTAAATCATGAATTTTTCTGAGTTTTGGCACATGCATCATTTATATCATGGGCTATTCATGCATGTGTGATAGTTCTCTTGTTAATGTTTAAATAATTATATATGAGGAGAAAACATCTCCTAAAAGTTGGCACAATGAGCCAAGAGAAACAAAATGGGTCTTTAAATCCTATTTGGAGATTAAAAAAATCTCAGACTTGATAGCATGTTTCTTGGCTATGAGAAGGAAGATATAAGAGACATAATTCTCTTTATGAAATTGAATATGATCATGTTTTGAGGGCATGATTGTGCCTTGGTGTAGTATATCTTACTTCCAAACATGTTCTTATGAAAGTTTGCCCAAGACTTATTAGAGTAAATGAGATTTCCTTCACTAAGATTGTGTTATAAGCATGTTTATGTATATGATAGTTTAATGAAAATCATTTGTACTTTATGCATATGATACATAGACATGCTTCTAGTTTGCTATTTTGTTTGTCTTGACATGAGACTTGTGGAAATCTAAGAGGCTAGTGAACCTGATCATGTCTCATTAATGAAAGGTTGGTTAAAGCATATATCTACTTGTTACTTTTGTTGCTTGTAAGATTATATATCAGTATATGTAAATTGAAATAAGTGAGAATCAAGTCTCATGATGACAACTTTGCCATGATAAAGAAAGAAATACTAAAATGGGATTTGGCAAACCCATTTGGAGATCCAATTGATGATTTTAGTTTGAATAGAAACAAAGAGAAGAGAGGCCATGTGAAAAAGCTCTCAGTTTTGATAAGTTATGAAGGATTTTGAATCCTTGTTTAGATGCTATATCTTAATGAGATAATTTGTAAAAGCTAGTGCAACCTTTTGCACTTGATTCATTTTTGGAAGCCTGGATAAATGGTCCAAAAAATAAAGAAATATGGATTTAAAGAATCCTATACACAACAAGAGTGAATAGTTCTTGGTCATGGAAAATAAATCTAACGATTTGAGTTGTTCCAGAATTTTGGTTCAAATCACTCAAAGATGACTTGAACCAATTACATAGAAAACTTAGAAACTATCAAGAACTTAGTTTGAATAATATGAATTGAACCATTTTTGATAAATCAAAGTTTATCCTGATATGTCTCTCATGAAGAATATTAATGTCATAAAATTAAAAAACAATATTTAAAATGGTGGGAACAATCCCAAGAGTGAGAGGAATGAGGATCAAAAGTCCTTGACATATCAAAAGCAAATAAAAATTAAATTTGGAAGTGGAGGAAGCAAGAATTCCACTTGTTCATAATATTACAAAGTTATATGGCACTGTTTAAAAGTGGTAGCACTTGTTCTTGGAGATGTCTACACATTTCAAGAGTTCATATCAATCTAAGACATTCTTATGTGAATGTGTATGATGACTAAAAATAATAGGATGTCATCAAGTGCTTATAAAGAAGTCCATATGACAGTAGATGACTTGTCATAAAATGTAGACGTGGAAACAGTCAATTCTTAAATGAGGTGATCACCATAATGTTTGCAAGGTCTTGTGTGAATTAACTTCATGAATTCTTGATTAAAAGGATTATCAAAAGCAAAATTTACAAGACAAAGAGAGGGATGGTTCCCAAGTCCATATTGACAAAAGGCACACATGATGGAACCTCGACTTAACGTTTGATAAAACATCAAGTCTTAAGTTCAATGAGAAAAGTACATCATATGAATGTCACTGTAAGTACTCAATTTATAAATAATACCATCCCAAGTGGAAGAGTACTTGGTAACCGTATGAATAAAGAGGAGGTTGAGTTTTACTCTTAATAGGTCCTCCAATAGATTTCTGTTAAAGTGCTTAATGCGGTGGCACTTTTGATGGAATCTACCTATGTGAGTGGAAGTGGTACCACTTCTAGGAGTTGGGGGCTTGACTCTAATAGTACTCATGAAAAGGATACATGACACATGGCTAGTTTTTATGTTGATGATGCTAAATTTTTCTTTTGAAAGCTTGAAGTATTGTGTGTGACATGTGCCCAATTAGTCACTTAGAATCGTTGGTTCAAAGCATTGGTCTACCATTCAATTCTAACTAACTTGCCAACACATGTTCACTAAGTGAAAGGTTCAAATCATAAGATACCTTTATGTATGCATAAGATTTCCAAAACAATAAGTGGGGTGTTCTATTTTGAAAATGGGGGATGTTGAAGAATGATCAAAATAGTTCTAGGATTTGGGTTCAAATCACAAAAAGTTGGTTTGAAGCAATTGCATAGAATGCATTTGAGAAAGTATGTTTTTTGTTCGAATCATATAAATATAGTTTGAATTGTTTATGTAAAATTAGAATTCGAAAAGTACGATTTTGTTTTGAATCACATTTATATGATTTGAACCATTTATGTCAGAAAAAAAAGATAGAATTTTGATAAATTTCTCTAGGAAGAGTGGATAACTTTGGAAGGCAAGGAAACATGTGAGTTAGAATTCAAATCAAACCAAATGATTTTTGGAAGAGTTTCCAATGGATAAATTTAATGAAAATTCAGATATTTTCAATTAATAAATTGAAAAGGAGTGCCTATTCCTAACAGACATCTTGCCCCTATAAATATAGAGTTATCTCTTCTTCTTTTAGTCTCTTGAATACAGAAACAGATCCCTACTATTATCTAAATAAAATAGCCCATTTTTGTATTGCGCTAGTTGCAAAAATCCTTACAAAAACTATTGTTTTGTTGCTTTCTAAAGGACAGTTCAGTAGTTGATCTTACTAGTGCAAAGACAAGATCAACAAGATGCTTCATTGTATCTTATGGGTATTTTGGTTTACCTCTTTTGCATACTAGATTTGGTGAGGGCAAAATTAGCCTGAAGGAAAGTGTGCTATAATTTCTAAAGGACAATTTAGTGATTGATCTTACTAGTGCAAAGGCAAGATCAATAAGGTGCTTCATTGTATCTTATAGGCATTTTAGTTTACCCTTTCTGCATATTAGATTTAGTGAGGGCAAAATTAGCTTAAAGGAAAGTGGGTTATAATTTCTAAAGAACAATTCAGTGGTTGATCTTACTAATGCAAAGGCAAGATCAACAAGGCACTTCATTGTATCTTATAGGCATTTCAGTTTACCCCTTTTGCATATTAGATTTGGTGAGGGCAAAATTAATCTAAAGGAAAGTGGCATTTATAGCATGCCTTGAAGCCAATGATCTATTTTCTAACCTCCAATTTCCAACAATGCTTCATGTTTTAGTTAACTTTATTTTAATTGTTATTCTTTTAATTATTTTTAATTAAAAAATTATTTTTTTGATTGTTTAAATAAATTTAAAATTAATTATTTTTAATACATAATTAATTAATAATCCTTATAACTTTAATATTTTACATATCATTATATTATTAAAAGTAGCTAATGCACTTTTCATTATATTATTAAGAGTAACTAATGCAATTACTAATGAATTTTGGTTAAAACCTCATTTTGGTCCCTCAACTATTGTATGAACTCAGGATTTGATTCCTGAACTGAAAAAATCTTTGATTTAATCCCTACTGTTTATCATTTTAACCCTAACTTGGTCCTTCAATTAAAAATCGACTTACGTAGACCGTTACTTGACGGGAAAAAGATGTTAATTTAAATGAAAAATAATTGCCCAAGTCATGAAAATGGATGGGATAATGATTGTCCAATTAGCAAAGATGTTAATGGGATGGAATGAAGATGGAATGTTAATGGGGACCTAAGGAAAGGGACGGAATGAGGGGTGGGCAAAACCGGTTTTCGGTTAAAACTGAAACCAGTTTTAAAATAACTGAATTTTTTTTTTCTAATTTTGAGAACCAAAATTGAACTGAAATTATCAAAAATTAATCGGTTTGATTATCAATAAATCGGTTTAAAATTGGTTTGGTTTTGGTTTTTGATAAATAAATA